GATAACCAGAGCAAAAAAGATGCACATGTATTTATACCTATAACCTAGCATTGTGAACCTAATTATAAATCCTATTGTCTATTGCAATTAAGTTAGTTTAACTGAAAATCATAAATTAAGAACATTTTCAGTTGTCATATACAGTTAATTTTAAGAATCAATTAGTAAATTGATCAAGATGAAATCACTTTTCTGTATTAAGTTGTTTTACTTTAAAAAGAAATTGGGGAATATTTCCCAATTAAACTAAAGAAGAGTTTTATCATTAATGAAATCATTAGTATATCTCCAAGTACAATTAAAATGTACAAAACTACAAGGTATGAATGTCGTTACACATCTTTATTTATAATAAGGAATAAAACATTTTAGACAATAGGTAAAAGGTTAACCTATAGTAGATTTCCACTTCTTTAAGTGAACATTATATGCAGTATCTTAAGTATTTCTAAATGTATTTCCTGTACTTTCAAAAGATTATCCATTCAGTCATAAGAAATTCCACCCAAAAAACATCTGCAACATATCTTTTAACACAGGATAATGTACAAAAATAATCAACTGATCGAAATTATTGTGTTCAATTATTATTGTTCTTGTATTCCACTATCCAAGTAATTAGGATATTGTCATTATAATTTCTCATTATTATTCTTGATTAATTCAAGATTGTTCTGTTTAATTTTTTAGTATTAAGCTCATGAAAATAATCCACTGTTTCCAATTATTTTCATTTTCAACCATTCCCACAATTTAAGTAGTAAAAATATTGTCATTATAATTATTATTCTTGATTAATTAAAAGTTGCTTTTTTATATAAAATGTTTCTGGCACGTTATTTACTCTATTAAAACAACAACAATCTATTGAGTTCTCACTTCCTTATTAACACAGTTGATTAGTAATAAAAAGACAGGTTTCATACAAATTCACTAACTTCTCTTCCCTACTAAATTTGCAGCTGAACATTTAATTGCAATTTTTTCATTTCATAAGCTAAAAAAATCTCGATGTTCACATAACATAATATACATAAAGATCCTTTTGCATCAACAGTATTCCTACATATACTAGAAGTATCGTACAACTTCTCCAAGCTGGTTTATTTAGTTTTGTTGTTCAGTTTTACTGTGCCGTTCACATTAAATAACAAATCTCGTATACCACAATGATGCATAGTTTTATGCAAGTGTTATTTTTGGTTTATGTTCATCTATAACACAATATTTTATGTTGAAGAGAAAACTAAATGACCAAAAAACTTTCACATATTTATATATATCCCCTACAATTTCTAATGTATTCACATTAACCCTTTCGAGATGGGTCACAGGTGAAAGGCCATATCTCGTTTGTTGACTCGCATTCAAAATTTTATTGAACTACTATATCATAAATTGATGTCAATAAGTTTGGTATCAAACTGTAGATTATAATTCAAATTTTAGAACTATACATTACTCAATTTGTTAATTTAAAAGTAAATGTTAAAAAAACACAGATAAACATCGATTTTTGTGTGATATGTGCTATGTTGAATGCAGCACTGATTCAAATTAGATGTTTGTGAAGTCAAAATACTAAGTCTATAGTTTCATATGAATTAGAAACTCAAATTACCGATATAGACAAGGTAGAATATAAAATAAGAAGGTCTTATCTTTTCTATTTGTTAAGATATTGCTCATGTAATAAATCAAACACAGTGGCACCCCGCCCACCTCTTTCCATTTTTGGAAATGGTCCCTTATATACACTTACTTCTATATATGACATGAATAACCAATTGGAAGCTCAGAATGTCCCCCTAGTGGTTTTCTCAGCCTTCCTAACATTCCTTCCACCATTTCTTTTTTTTTAACCAAAATTTCAATGAGATAGGTTGTGTATTTAGTCTGCTCGAAATTTCATATTTTTTCACATCTTAGTTACTAAGCTTGATAAATTATAGTAGAATTCTATGGTATTGATGTATTAATTTATGATTTTTTAGTTACTCAAATGTATATATAAAACCTAAAAAAAATACTTTGTTTCATATCCTCCACATGTGAAATTTTTAAAGGCTTAGCAACCTAGGTCAAGCAGCAACCAAGGACAAAGGTCGTAATTAGAAGAGATAATTGTTTGTTTTACTTCTTTATTTACTGTTCTAAGTTTTAGGAAAAATAAGTTTAAGAGCTTATTTCAAAATAGCAATAATGTATATACATATATAATGTATAATTGAAATGTGACTGTATTTTATAAAATACTAGTCTACTAAAACACAGCCAAGACAAGTTACTTTGTACAGACCAAAGGTCAGTTTTATGTTGTTTGATACGGTAACATGAGTGCACGTGAGCCGCATCTTTGTAACTTCTGTATTGTTAGCCAAGCTTGGCTGAAAGGTCAATATAATAAATACATATATAAATGTATAATGTTATGAAATTTAAGCTATTTAGTTTAAACATTTATGTTTTCATGTTATAACTTGTTGTCATTCTAGAATGAAAAAGGCATAAATTATATTTATTTCCTAATTTTTAATGGTGATTGCAAGATCGCTCAAATCTACCAAACCTTTACAGAGATTCGTTACTGAAAATAACAGATAAAATATAAAGTTTTTTTCTTAAGAAATGTTTGATAACTATCTGGACATTATAAAGATTTCACATGTGAAATTTAAAAATTTTCTGATGCATAAAAGTATTTTAATCTTAAAATAAAAATTACTTTGTATGATAGATAGGCAACGTGAAAAAAAAAAGGCATGAAAGAAACATAAAAACCTTAAGACTTAATATAAAAAATTAGATATTTTATGTATGAAAGCATTGTAATGTTTATTGATAATCTGCCAAATTTAGTTAACATTCGCTTACTAATTTAAAAGTTATAGCATGAAAACTATAACAAGCACCAAATGGTTATGAGGTCAGTCCCAGGGACCAAACCCAGGCTGAAAGAGTTAAACATTGAACTCTGCCCGTAAGAACATCATACCAAATTTAAATAGTATTTTATATTATTTACTCACCCAATAGCAACCTTCTTGCTAATAATATAAAAATCATGACCAAAAAGGTGTCATAAACTTCCTAATGAAAACCTTGTGTTTAATAATGCAAAATCATGGCCAACAAAGTGTCATAAACTTTCTAATGGAAACCTTGTGGTTAATGATGTAAAAATCATGGCCAACACAGTGTCATAAACTTTCTAATGGAAACCTTGTGGTTAATGATGTAAAAATGATAGCCAAAAAGATGTCATGAACTTCCTAATGAAAACCTTGTGGTTGTTTATGACACTGTGTTGGCCATGATTTTACATATTAACCACAAGGTTTCCATTAGAAAGTTTATGACACTGTGTTGGCCATGATTTTGCATTATTAAAGTTTATGACACTGTGTTGGCCATGAGTTTTACATTATTAGCCACAAGGTTTCCATTAATAAGTTTATGACACTGTGTTGGCCATGATTTTGCATTATTATTAACCACAAGGTTTCCATTAATAAGTTATGACACTGTACTGGCTATGATTTTTACATCATTAACCACAAGGTTTCCATTAGGAAGTTTATGACACTGTACTGGCCATGATTTTGCATTATTAACCACAAGGTTTCCATTAGAAACTAATGGAAACCTTGTGGTTAATGATGTAAAAATCATAGCCAGTACAGTGTCATAAACTTCCTAATGGAAACCTTGTGGTTAATGATGTAAAAATCATAGCCAGTACAGTGTCATAAACTTACTAATGGAAACCTTGTGGCTAATAATGTAAAAATTATAGCCAGTACAACGTCACAAGCTTACTCATTCAAATCAAGACATAAATTCACATACTAGCCTACAAAGCTTCTACATTTTTTTAACACCATATAACAAAGTAGTTTTAAACCAATTCAACCAGTTTTGTCATACATTCAACAAAGTGTTACCTGTATAGACTCACCATATCACACAATACCATTCTTAGTGCTATCACATTAGTGCACAATAAAACATGCATTTACATAATCAGATATGTTAAAAACTAAAGAAAAGAGTATGTTATACTAATGCTAGAAATGGCAATCATATCAGTGAACACTATACTTTCCCATCAATAGATTAGATGTAATATTATTCATACACCAAACTTAATTTAGGTTTCTATATGGCCATTTAAAAAGGCTTCAAAACCCAAAATTATTGTATAGACATGAGCATTATAAGAGAACTAAATGTATTTTTTGATTTGCTGACCAAGGCTATGTTGATGAGCCTTGAATAGATAAGACTGCAGTCCACAGCAAAGTGTACGGCAAATTAAAGAATACATTAGGCCTCTAAATCATAATTACATTTTTAATTTTACCTTTGGTGAAAAGGAAAGAAATATGCAATATAATAATTTAAACAGCTGACTTTCTGTATAATATTGAATAATAAATTATGCACAATTCACATGCCTAACTTTAGGTTACTATATGGTGAGTTAAAAAAGATATTAATATAAATTATCCACTTTCCAAGTTCAGTAACTCATGTTTCATTCAAGCTAATTCTAGCATGTGAACAACTCATGTTTCATTCAAGCTAATTCTAGCATGTGAGCAACTCATGTTTCATTCAAGCTAATTCTAGTATGTCAGTAACTCATGTTTCATTCAAGCTAATTCTAGTATGTCAGTAACTCATGTTTCATTCAAGCTAATTCTAGCATGTCAGTATTGTTTGTTTTTAATAATGCACAAAGCTACACAAGGGCTATCTGTGCTCTGCCCACCACGGGTATCGAAACCCAGTTTCTAGCGTTGTAAGTCCAAAGACATACCACTGTACCACTGGGGGGCGTATGTCAGTAACTCATGTTTCATTCAAGCTAATTCTAGTATGTTAGTAACTCATGTTTCATTTAAGCTAATTCTAGTATGTCAGTAACTCATGTTTCATTCAAGCTAATTCTAGTATGTCAGTAACTCATGTTTCTTAATGTTTGATTAAACTTAATCTCACCTTGGTTCTTTAGATTCATAGGAATGAATTGCTTTGGCACATGGTACATGATAACTGATCTGAAACAAAAAATAAAAGCATCAATACTTATTGTTACATCTAGCAGTATTTAATATTAACACTCCTGGAAACTACTTTTTACAGCATACAGATTCATCCTGGGGTCACCAATTTACATAAGGAAACATGCAATCACTGAGACCACCCCTCTTCCAAAGCTAACCACAGCCTTTCTCAGGCAATAATCTAACAAATACTTTCATTACATAATCATTCATCAAGAAAAAGTAACAATTCTGCTCAAAAACCAAGCCCTCATTATTCATACTGTTGTACAAATAAACGAAACGAAACTACTATTAATTCTTCTGTGATCTAGAAATTTGTTATTAACTTCATAAACATGCAGTATATTTTACAATCCACACCTCATAGAGAGGTCAATAGTACAAAAGTAATTTAATAAAGATAACAAAAAACAATAATAGCCAACTTATTTTTAAATATGAGTATTGTTCTAACTCACTTGCCAAAAACAAAACTAAAATTACATAAAACTTTCTTTCTGCTCAATAACATAAAGTAAGCCTTTCCATACCTAGGAATATAACATCACACCTCTTGTTATAGCAAACAACATTCTACTCCTGCTCAACACTAATAAGGTAAAGTAATGAATAAAAGTAATACTCCTTTTAAACCACCATTAGTTATTGTTACAAAAACTGGTACATGTTTTGACCACATTTGTTTGGGTTATCATTAGGCAGAATGAAAGTAGACAACAGTATACATATATTTAAAAAATTCATTCCTAGAACACATGATGCATGTCAATTTTAAATTAGCACTCCATGTAAACGAAACAACACATGTAAGCACACACTGTACATAATGTAAATAATTATAAAACAATATACAATTTATATATATACAGTGTTAATCCAAGTACAGCTGGAGGACTGCAATTCTAGGACGATCATCTTTATTTCTGTGTTTAATTATTTCCATCAACTTTCTTAGATTCAGTTCAGTGTAATTACTCATGGGACAAATTAATTTAGTCTCATCCCATACAGTACGGTGTTTATAATTAATGGTACCTTCTGCTACACATAATGAAGTGTAATTTTTCTTTTATCCAATGATGTTGACCTTTTCATTGAAATAAGCTATCTTAAACATGTGGTCAAAGATATAGAAAATGACTCAATAATCATTGAGTAAGGCTATCAACAAAATATCTCGTGAAATAGATATATATATATATATATACTTTCATATCCCTTATAGACCTCTTAATAAAATTTGTATTCTTCTTCCTTCATTAAAAAATAATTTACTAGCTTCAACAAAAACAGAATGATGATATAAAGTGTGAATGCAACAAAGTCTATGTTAGTCAGAAAATTCATAAACTAAAATGTCATTTGAATGAACACAAACTTATTGTAAAAACAAAAATTACACTTTATCATGTTTTAATTATACTGTGTACTGTTGCCTGAGACAGGTGTATGGCTTTCACCACTGATACTTGTGTTCATGGATTCTCAACCGTTACCAGATGCCACAGTTTGATGGGATATGACTTTCTGAATGGACTTAGTGCTACAAAGTGAACCATATTCCTTAATTACCAACACCACTAAGTAGAAGGGATATCCACATCTTGGATATTCTAAATCACTGATCTCAACACATCATTATGAACCAAGTTAGGAATACTTTGTATCAGAAAGAGCTGTTACATACCTTTTCCAAAAAGTTACCAATTTTTGCTGGTATCACACTACCTAAAATATACCAAATAACATCAAAATGTAGTTTTGATACACTTTGTTCCACCTCAAGTTCATAAAGGCTGTCGTTGTCATGTGAATTGCTAATATCCATATTCAAAATCATTTTAATATAAGTATTGTACCCACTGTATAGTTTAGGTTTACATTAGCAAACAGGCTTCAAAACAAAGAATTGTGTTCATTCAGGATTACTGGTGTAATGATTAATTAGAACAACTGAAGACCTATTGTTAGAGTCAAATTACAAAGCAATTGTTCATGATTTTCCCCATAATCAATAATAAATGATTACAATATTATTTTTCAAGGTTATATTGTTTTTACATTTTTCTTATATCCTTGTTTCTCAACCTCATTGCAAAAAAAGTTATTATTTTTCTATACTGAAAATATATTTCCAATAGATACTTACCTCTTCTCCCATGTATAGCTATTCTCATTCAGTGCTGCCCTCTATATGAAAATATTTTTTCACATGCCACAAGCCTTGAACTCCCTCATACCCCAAAATCAATGTGTTTCAAATGTGTCTCACACATAAATCACTATGTGACAACCCTCCACCAATATCAGTTTGACACACCCTCCTAACACATTTGACTCCCTCTATTCGATTCTACAGAAAAGAAAAACACATGTTTTCAATGGAGAGAAAGGGTGGAAAGTGTGAGAGGAAGGTAAGTACCTATCGGAAATATATTTTCAGTGTAAGAAAATAACTTCCATATGGTATACTACCTCCACTCACATGTATAGCTAGAATCCCACAGTGAATAAATGGAGAGACCGGTGCGAGGGATAGAAATAAGTATCCAAAAGGGAGAGAAAAACCAGGGAGGTTCGAATATGAACCACAATAAACCGGAATCTCAATCCCAGTGAAGAAAGACTAGAATAATCAGCTCCAGACAGGAATGTGGGGAAAGCTAAAATGGATGTGGTAGAGTGGCTAAGGCACGGCGGACCGTACACACCCACTCAACTACAGTCCAAAACCAAGCAACATTGCGATTACTACTTCCAAACAATGGTAGAAGGAGGGTCCACATCGTCTTCACCTCAAGTTGAGTAGAACAAAATTATATACATGTCAAAACGATCTACTAAATCAGGCACATGTGCAAATCCATAGCCACCCATACATCTGGGAACCTGACATCCAAGTGATGGTATGAAGGGATGTGCCTAAGTGGCGGTTCACATCAAATCAAATCCAATCTGATTGAAATCCCTCAGCACAACAGCAGCCTCGGGCAGGAAAAAAGTGCACAGAAGCTGGGCACAGCATCAACCTCCATGATCCACAGCAGTTGAGTGCCTCAACAAAATATATACAACTTTATCTTCCAGATGGAGGTGGAGCACATGATTGGATCATATGCCATCTACACCAGCAAAACACCACTGCCCTACTCTTTACTGAATGGAAGTGGACACATTCAGGAGGATACCTTCAGGTCAACCACCCCAGCAGCTTGCAACTGGGGTGGTACTCCACTACAAGAACATGAGAGGATAAAATGTGATGGAGAGTCCAGTGGAATGCCAACACCAGAGACAGTGCAAAGGGTGACCAGGAAAACCTTATTGCAAAGCAAAACACCCCTGATTTATTCAATCGAAGGGATAGCAGGGATGGGCAGCTTTCCCCTTCTGCTTTATCCATGTAAGTCCTTGGGTTAGTATGGTCAAGAATGGGCATATTAATGAAGCAAATATATCCTAAGATAAAATGTACTAGCAATCTTGTGGAACACCCAATTTCCACAGTGTGCTATATTGGCCATGGGCATAATGTGTTTTCATATTTCATCTTAGCTGTACAGTGTAGATTTGAGATATAGGAAGCACACCTAGACAGGCAACGCTCGCCACTGAGCAGAATCTGAATCCTAAATGGGACATGCACCTCGAGGGAAAAAATATATATATATATATATATATAAAAGATAGCTCACCAAATCACACCCACACCAAAGTTTGAAGAATGGCAACAGGCAGTACCTTGATGAGGAAGAAACAGCTACCCAATGAATATAGTGGGAGATAAACATACAAGGAGTAGGCCACATGCCTGACTGAAGAGTTCTTCCAATGGATGACAGAGGTGAGACTCCAGGAAAAACGAAAGGTGCCCAATCTTAAGCAAAGACACCTGTAACAGAATTTGGGAAGAAAAAGACAGGGGGAAATAGACCAATAGAATCAGTTAACGATCCCAAATCATAAGGGCAGAAGAAGAAAGGTCATGTACAGATGAACAATGCCAGGGAATGAAAAGGTGGAAATGGGAATCATTAAAGGAGGCCATGTAGGCAATGGAACAATGAAAAGCACATACTGGACATAGAAGACTATCTGGAACACACCAGGAATAAAAGTGGGAAATGGATGAAAGAAAAAATGGCAAAAAGGAAGAATGACCCTCACGAGCAGCCAAAGTTTTGAGTATGAAAACTCAATCCAAAAGAACCACACAATGAGGAGGTCAATGAATCTGGAAGGAATGTAAATAGAACTGACTGGTCCAGTTTTGACTGAGAAAATCCACTGACAGGGTCTGAGGATGATGAACCAGAGACCAAAAAAGAGGTAACTTGGTATTGAGGTAGAGTGGCAAAAGCATGGTCAGGAGAACCCCACTGATTGCATAGCCACCTGAAAACCTGAAAGTCAATAAACCACTCTGTGGGATAAACTTTGTTGGGTTTTGAAAAACAATCTGCCACATGTTAAAAGCACCCAGAACATGACACACAAGGAGATTTATCCACAGCATATGGGTCCAATAAAGGAAATCTAATGTTCAAACACAAAGGGAACAGTAACGGGTGCCCCCATAGTGATTGAAACAGGCAACAATGGTGGAACTGTCAGAATGGAGCATGAGTGTTGGTACCGTACCATTAGAAGAAAATAAACAAAAGCACATTGTACTGCCATAAGCTCCAAGATGTTGAAATGGTAAGACATTACTATGTGAGACCATTGCCCAAAAGCCTCTTACTGATGGACCAATACTCCCCAACCTTGGAGAGAAGCATCAGTAATTTGATAAAAAGCTGGAAAAGGTGGAGTAAATGTACCAGTCCAGTACTCCCTTTATTAAGTTGTCCTTGTTCAACCACCAATGCAGATAGTCTGTAAGGAAAAGAGGAAGGGTAATTGGGGAGTCGAAGGGATCCCGAGCAAGATTCCATTGGATGTGCAGAGACCTTTGAAGAGAACACATATGTCCCCGACCCAAAGGAATA